GCTTCTGGAAGGAAAGAGAGAATGTCAACATTTTTCTTACTAATGATGAAGAAGGAATCAGCATACCTGTACCTCTAAAAAATGCGTGGTTGGGCAACAAATCTTCAAAGAAACAACTGCCCAATAAATAAATGGGCTAAAGACTTAAACTTCTCTGAAGAGGAAAGAAGGATGGTCAATAGACACATGAAGAAATGCTCAACCTCTGTAGCCATAAAAGAAATGCAAATCAAAACAACATTGAGATACCACCTCACCCCAGTTAGAATGGCTATAATCAAGAACTCTAATAACAACAGATGCTGTAGGGGATGTGGACAGAAGGGAACCTTACTTCATTGTTCAACCACTTTGGAAAGCAGTATGGAGGTTCCTCAAAAGACTCCACATAGAGCTCCCCTATGACCCGGCAATCCCACTTTTGGGCATTTACCCAAATGATCACAAACAAAACCATACTAATGCTACCAGCACAACTATGTTTATTGCAGCATTATTTACCATAGCTAAAATATAGAACCAACCCAGATGCCCCTCAGTAGATGAATGGATCAAGAAAATGTGGTATATATACACAATGGAATTCTATGCCTCCATCAGAAAGAAAGACATTGCCCCATTTGTTAGGAAATGGAAAGACTTGGAAAAAATTAAATTAAGTGAAGTAAGCCAGGCCCAAAGAAACATAGGTCCCATGGTCTCCCTTATTTGCAATAACTAGTATATGTCTGAGTCAAGCAGAAAAGGTCAGATAAGTTGATGTTAGGGGAATGAACCCCAAGATAAGTATTCAAATTATTTTTCTTTCATGCAATTGTTTCTAACATATTTATAAGATGATTTCTATGTTGCTTTGTATGTCCCTCCTCCACGGTATAACCCCTGCTTTCACTGTATTTGATGTTGGTATAATTTGTGGAGGGGAAGGGAAAAACAAATTGTTTAAATAGGGATACAGGTGGACCCATTGCAACAATGAGATGTACAAGTCATTATGTCGAAAACGAACTTTACAACTTTGGTGGGGGGGAGAGGACGGGGTAGGGGGGAGTTGGGGAGAGTATATGGGAAGGGATGGGAAGGGGAAACAAGAGGAGGCAACAATGCTTGATAAGAAATGTACTCATTATCTTGCCCATGTAACTGTAACCCCTCTGTATGGTATTTTCATAGTAAACAAAATAAAATTTTTTTAAAAAATCACTATTACAAAAAAAAGGAATGCATGGATAGGGAGAAAAGGGATCAAAGATGGAATGCCCAGTAGCATCTAGAATCTTCTGGTTTTAGTACTGCTTTGCTCTAAGTAGCTTGAAATCTTGTGTTTTGATGTAGTGTGAGTACTTAACTGTGGGTCGGTAACACTTCCAAACCTGTGAGCGTGCCAGGAAGTATATGCCTGCCTCTGCTATCTGTTGATCATGGGAAGATCCTAGTGACACACCTCGGATATGATTGAATTCCTTGCCCTCAGTCGGAGAATGTGTCAGACAGGAAACTGACAGATTGATGGAGGTCAGAACCAGAGTCAACAACAAAGGCCAAGTAACAAAAGGTAAATAACACAGGCCAAATAGCACATCCATTCATTTCGAAAATCCTTCCTGGCTGATGAAAGTCGGGAACTGAATTTCATGCAAGGACTTTGCTACTGTATTCTCTGTTCCATAGCCAAAAGAATGCTGAGGGTTCACTTCACCTGTAACTGAAATTGGAATATTTGAATATGACCTGGGTGGGGGAGAGGGAATTTTTTTTGTTATACCCATCTGGGCCACACAATATCCCTTTTCTCTTACCCACTGTTGGGTAACATACTTTAGTAACTGAAATTCATGTTCAGAGACTGCAATTGGCTCATGTAATGAGTATTTTGGAAGAATTTACATGTTCAACCAAAGCGGTTAATTCACTAGGCTACATTTATTACGATATTTTTTCCTAAAGGAACTCATAGTCTTCTGGCACAAACAGAGCGAGTGAGTGGGAAGCCTGGGGGGATGAGTTGGAGATGTCAGGTGGCAATGGAACAAGTGTCACAGAACTAATGTCTTGCTTACCTTGTATGTGGGGCGGGGCGGCAGTGAGATCCGGGTTTCTCCTGGGACATTGTTGCCTTGGCGCTCTCATTGGGAGGAAGTGCTCGTGCGCGATGCCCACGTGGGGAAAGCCTAGCTCTGTTTTGCTTTTCAGGACTCCGGGATGCTTCCTTCCTATCCTTAGCAGCATAGACCAAGAAAATCAGCTTTCCCTCCCATCAGTCCTTAGCAAGGGCAACTGACCAACTGAGATGACTGCTGAAATGCAGCCCTTTCCAATTCTTCCATGATGGATACTTGGTTTTCACTGCTGTGTCTCTCTTGGTCCTGGTAGAAAGTTAAATAATAATAACAATAATAATAGTAGTAGTAGTAGTAGTGGGAATAACAATAAAGAAAAAATCAAGCAAAATCTTTCCATGAATACATAGTTCTTTTTTATTCCCAGAAGGTAAGAAAGCTAAGGATTCCTGGGTTTCAATCTTTCCAACAATGCCTTTGGGGAAACCATACCTACCCTGGGGGTGGGGGCTTCAGAGAGGCAGCATGCTCATGTTACATGAAGATGCCTGCAGGCCACACAGCATGAGGGTCTGTAGTGGCAAATGTGGACTTCCAGAGGATCCTGATGTGCGTATTTCTGTCTAATGATAAATCATGTCATCATTCAATAAGCACCCTCTAAACACAGCTAATTGTTGGAAGCTGCAGATACTCAATTCATTTACTTATCAGATATTTGTTCCATGCCTATGTGATAAATAATGAATGAGGCAAAGTCCCTGCCTGCCATAAACCTGGTTGAATCCTTCCCCAGGAGAAGAAAGTTCCTTCGTGGTTACAATCTGCCCAGACACTGCTTCGTAGTGCGTGAGTCATGAGTAGACTTGTTCATCTTTGTCATGCTTCCTTGAAGATTGACTCTACTAATAGGAAACATAATTTGGATCCCAGAAAGTCCTTATATACTTTGTTGGATAAAAGCTTATAAATTTTTATTCTCTTCATCAAATTTTGTGGGGAAAGCAATCATTCAAAAATCAATGTTCTACACAGGTTAGTTCAGTGGTTATGATTAGAGTCCCATCTGTCATTATAAAGTCTCAGGAAATTAATGACAACCTAAGGACTTAAACAAGTGTTAAGGAAAAAGAAGCATAAAACATACATTTAGTAACCTAATCAAGGACTCAGTTCAATACTATATTGGTTTTTGTTTTTTTAATTCAGCATGGGTTTGGAGTGTGCCACCACAAGGGAAAAAACCCACAGTATTTAGCAGCCTAAATAAAACTAAAGTTTGGTACTAAGGATTAAAGTATAACTATTACAGCCATTCTGAAAAACACCAAAAAGCCAAACAATAGTGAAAATCAAGGATTATGGAGGGCAAAGCTGCTGGATGCTGTTAGAGGTTGTGTAAGATCATACTGATTTTTATCTTTTTCTTTCTTTTTCTGGTAATGGGACGTGAATCCAATGGCTTCATGCTCTCACGTAGCCTGTTGCTCATGGCCTGTGTAGTACCACTTGGGTCAAGTCCCTAGCCTGGCTTTTGGGTTTTAAATGGAGAGGTTATCTCATGGATTTTTTCTCTTCAGGCTGGGATGGACTCCCATTTCTTTTTTTTTTTTTTTTATACAGAAGAGTTTTTTCAATTGAAAAGGTGATGAGCTGGGGGGTTACAGTTACATAGGTAAGACAATAAGTACATTTGTTTTTAATCACTGTTACCACATCCCTCTTTATTTCTTAAAGAACTGAAAATAGAAGTTCATTGAGGTTACTTTGAGAAAGTCCACCTTCCCTCTCCTAGCATGGCAGTTGTCAGTCACCTGATGGGGGTCTTTTTACAATACCCAGATAGAATCATGAATCAAGTACAAGCTGTGTTCAATGGTCTTAGCTACTGATGTTCATTTTCATCAAGGATGACGTAAGAAAATGACAGTAGTACCAGGAATTTAAGAGGGATAGAAGGAAGATAGAAGGCACATTTGTAGAGTGTAATAAAGTAAAATGTCTGGAGACCTTTCATTAAATGGCCAATTACTACTCTAAATATTGTGACGTGGTGACATTACTCATTTTCCCAAGTAACATATATTTTCAGCATTTATTCTAGGTTTGGAACCATGAACCAAACCTAGAGTATGATCCTTGTTATACCTGTGAGAAATAATAGTAACAGATTTAGCAAGAAACTCATGTATTATTTACAAAATTTGGAACCCAAAAATACATCAGGTATTTTTCTCCTATGGCAAAGTATGGAAGGAAGTGAGTGAATATTATTAAGAAACAGGAATAGAGTAAGATTCTTGCTGAAGACCCTGACTCCATATCTTATATTTCCAAGCAGAAAACTTGCATACATTTTATTCTTAGCCAAAATGTTTAATATAGTTCTCATCAAATAAGTTTTTTTTATGTTATTAGAAAGGTAGTATGCAGAGGGGTTATAGTTATATAAGTCAGGTAAAGAATACATTTCTTTTTGAACATTATCATCTCTTCTCTTGCTTTCTCCTAGCTTTCATTAAATGAGTTTTTCTATATAATATAGAAAATATAATTTAAAATAATTATTTTATAATTATTTTATAATTAATACTTGATCTGTAAGCTAAACATGCTAAATACCATGTTAAGCAAAAAAGGTATATAAAAATAGTGGCTCTAAAAACAGCCCTGGGAGAAATGATCAGGTATGCCATTGTGCTGACTACTAGTCATATTCTCCTGTGTAGGGTTTAATTATTTTTTGAGGAGTATTAGATTATTTAAAACCAATATCATGTCTCATTGTTCATTATAACATTCTAATCCTAACTCAAATTTAATGGAAACAATGGTTTTTTAACCATTCCCTCTACTCATCTACTGCTATACATGCTATATGAGTTCAACAATACATTAATGTTGGGAAGTTGTTTATGAGTATGGATCTTAAGATAGCCACATCATCATTACAATACTTTCACATGTTCAGTTTTGAAAAGGTTTGTGGTTATGGATCTTTAGGAAGTCATTTATGTATATTCTGACATTTTTATAGGTAAATAGTAGACTACCGAGATAAAGAAGATACAATCAAATATCCAGTTGATCATTGATGAAGTTGATGATGAGTACATAAGACTTATTCTATTACTTAAAATTGCACATGTTTGAAACTCATATAATGAAAAGTTCCAGTATACATAGTACATGGAAGACTATTGCTGCTGCATATTCTAAATTGTAAAAAATCGATCACCATGTCTAGGCACAAGTTTTTTCTCTAAAGAAATACCAAATATCGTTTTCAAGACTTCTTCTATTTCTTCCTCTTTTAATGCCTTAAACTCCACCAGATCTATATTGTCCTTATAATTGAATTTCCTATAGGTGAGGGTGGTGCCCACTAAGCAGTACACTCCTTCTAGTGTCTGCAAGGAACAAAATGACTTGCTTGTAAATACAGATGCTGGAGACGTCTGAAGAAATGTGTTTACAGATTCAAAGTCTTCAATTGTTCGAGGCTCAAGGGTAAAGGAGTAGATTTTTCGGTATTTACTATTTTCAAGGAGGTCAGAATTAATAAATTCTTCATTGGGGATGTACTGCTCTCTTCTGATTTGGTCCAGGTACCAGATTCCATTCTCTTCTGTCAGCCGGAAAATGGAAGGCACTTGAGGCTGGTCCTTTCCAGAAATCAATTCCAGAGGCTCCCATATCTGGTGGGAGCGACCAAATGAAGCATCCACAATGTAGTTCTTGGCATTGAGGGTCACCTGTACTAGAAGGTGAATCATGCCCGTGCTGTATCTTTGGGCTGGAGTGTTATAGACATATCCTCCTAACATTGTAGTCTCAAACCCCATTGTGGTCAGAGCCCAGTTGAAAAGATAATTAGCCTGGAGACACCACCCACCCCGGTTCTTCCTCACAATTTGATCAAAAATGACCTCCAAGCCCAACTCCATGGATTCTCCACAATGGATGTTAAGGTTCTCAAAGGGAATGGTTTGAATCTGGCGCTGAAGAATTTCAGTTAAAGTTTCCAAGTCCAATTTGCTCCTAGAGTTCTTATAACCAATTCTTTGAAAATATGCTTCAAGGTCCATGTTTCCTTAATCAAAAAACAAAAACTAGAGTAAGTGCTACCATATTTATACTTGGGTTTCTTTCTTAAAATCAAACTTTGAAACTAATTAAGATATAAAAAGAGTTAAGGTATAGTTAGGGAAAAGTACTCTATTGATAACATATCATATTAGTTATATTGCTAGAAAGCTTGATATTCACAGGAAACTCTACTGAGAAAACAAAGCCATTCTAAAAGTGAAGTTAAATGTTGGTACACATAAAAAGTGATCAATCAATCCATTTGTTGCTCCTGTAGAAGAGAATTCAAAATAATCATAAAAAACAACATGATATATATTTTTCCCAAAAATGAAGCAGAAATCAAATCTGAGAAATAAAATAAAAGAAATAAAGAACTAAAAGAAATAATTAAGGAAAATATTCTTGGAAAGTTTGATTTTACATGCATGGCATTGAAGTATATTTTGTTAAATAATTAAAATCCAAAATGAAAGAGAAAAAGTATCAATCATCTTGCAGGGAAATAAAGTATTTCACAAAGAAAAAAATATCAGTTTGGCAACAGACTCTCCTAGAAATATGTCCAAAAGAGAATCAGAGGAACTTTGTCTACAAAGTTGTAAAGTATTAAAGGAATGTCCTGTCCTCAAGTTACACTGAATCAAATAGTGACATGCACATGAAGATAATCTCAAACATAAAAGAACTTGAGAAATGCAACAACTCTGAGCTGTCCTGATGAAATATTTCCTCTCTAAAAGCCAGTAAGAAAATAAATCAAAGGAAAACTAGGAAATAGGACAGAATGATGAACTACCATGGGCACTGCTTTTTTTTTTTTTTTTACTCCTAAGATTAGAAAAAGGATTAGCATTATGACGACTAAATAGGCCAGTTCAAGGTATATGGAAATAGAAATAGGAAGTTAAAACTCAAGACTGTAAATGACCAGAAGTAAAAAGAGCTAATTGGGGTACTGTCACACTGGAGCATTAAAAACTAAACTTAGGGACATTCAAATTCTGAAGGGTTTATTTGAGCAGAAAGCAATTTGTGAAATCACTTTCTACTGGCCTCACCAGTTTGGTGATCCAGGAGAGAGAAAATTTTTACTAAATGCTTCTAGAAACAAGAAAAAGAAAACATTTGCTCAAGGAAAGAGGAAAGTCCTTAGTTGGAAATTGGTAGGAAGTTCCTCATTGTTCCAGTCTCTGTTATCTTTGTGCTGTTTGTATTTAGGAACATCATCAACCTTGGGGTTGTTTAGCCTAATGTATAACCAACTGAAAATTATGTCATACAACTGTCAGTTACCTTTTAGTCACTATGACAAAAACACCTGAGTAAATAAACTTAAAGGAGGAAGGATTTATTTTAGCTCGTAGACTTGGCATAGATTTCAGTCAATAGTTGGCTACTTCTACGGGTTTATGATAAAGCAGAACATCATGGAAGTCAGTGGGTGTGGCAGACAGTTGCTCACCCCTGGAATACCAAGAAGCAGAAGCAGAGAGGACAGGATGTATAGTTCAACAGCATGCCACCAGTGACTTACAAATCAGAAAGGACTGTGGTAGAAACTTCCATACCTACAACGTAGGTGTCTGAAAATCCTGACCAGAAGCGTTCTAGGAAACACCAGTGGGTCATTTTTATTATTGTTTGTGCTGTTGATTTCTTTCCCTATCCCTTTTAATTTCCTCTTATCTCTGGCACATGAAGGGTACAGAGTCCTGTTGCATTAACACCTTGCCAGGCCAGCCTTCTCACTGTGTACTTGCTGGCGGTATTCAAACCTGATACTCAACAATCTGTGTAGCACCACATCAGCCAGGACAAAGCCCCCCACCCCCCAAAAAGAGGGGGGGCAGGCAATCGTAAAAGGACACAGCAGATGCAGCTGAAGAAGGTGAAGAAAAAGAGTAACAGAAGTCTCTGAGCAGGAAATAGACCGTTGGCAGTTTCTACATTTTTAGGGGGTGAGGGTGAAGTCAACAGATTTGAGTCTGAGAGAGAAGGAAGGAAGGGTAAGGAAAGAATAGCTTATCAGAGCAGAGCAAAGCAGCATAGAGTTCCAGGCACCCAGCCAGAACCCACAGCGAAGTCCAACCCAGAAATCCATAGGCCTCTGTACCTAGTCAGTTTCTTCTGTCTGGAGGAGTTCTGTAGTCTGTCTTTAGGGGTAATGCCAGAGACAAATAGCTATTGATGATGATGAAGGAGGAGTATTATGCTTGTCACTGACAGCTCCTTCCAATTCCTGGTAACACCCTTCCAATTCATGATAGCAAAGCAAAACAAAACAAAAACTCTCCTTCCCCTCCCCCACAGAAATCCTTCTGTATTTGCAGTGGACATCATCCTTAAACATGGGAAAACCCATTGTATTTTCCCCCCTAAACACAATTGATAATGCACCCATTTAGTCCTCAAAACCATCCTTTTCAATAACTTATTAGCTCCCATTTTACTGATAGGAAACAGAGCTTCAGACAGGCTAAATGACTCATTCGAGTTCTCAGGGATCGAAGGTGCTGGAAGGGTGGCAGTCCACCCAGACAGTGTAGGCCCAGCATTTGTTAGACTCACCGGTATGCTACAAAGTATTTACAGCTGTAGGTCCCCAATTTCTGCCTCCCAAACTTTCTGGACAACTTAGAATTTGAAATTCAGAGCTGGGGTAAAATCTAGTGTCAGGGTTTCTCCTTTGAGATAGAATGAAACCCAGTTTCAAAGCCACTCACAGCAAGTCAGGGTGGGAGCTCTGCTTGTCGGGTTGGCAGGCCAGTTCCTGCAACAGTCGGGGAAGCAGGCGGAGCGCTGTCCTAGCCCTCCCAAGTCTGCACGAGCGCTGCCATTGGCTTCCCAAATCGCCCCACCTCCCCCGTGAGAGAACCCACCCCGGGGAGCTCTGGGAAATGTAGTTTAGGCGTTCACCTTGCCCGTGTGGATTTAATCCAGCTCTTTCATTTTCAAAGTATTGAAATTTATGTTACCTGATGATTCTTGTGCCTCAAGCTGTGGAGGGACTTTGTATTTTACACAATTCCTGCTGTCTGGGCCAGATAAAGAGTGTGGAGAGGATGCAGGATACACAAATGCCAGACCTAGAGGAGGCAGTAAAGGATGAACTGGGACACTTCCCATCAGATCCTCTCTGGTCTCCTTTTGCTGGTTTTCATGCCTCCTCCTCATTTCCTTTTACCTCTCTGCTCACAGGCATTATGAATTATGTCTGGACTGTATATTGATGCACACTATGGATTGTCTGAAGTGTAGTATTGTGAGCATGACATGTGTCCTATGGCTGTGTTCCTGATTGTTTTTGTTTTACACTTGTCATATGTTGATCTGTAACTCTTGCTGATTCTTAGACATTTCCCTCTCCTGTATTCTAAAACTGTTTACATGATTGTGTATTGATGCCTCGTGCTATCCTTGGGCACCAATTATTCTAGTACATCCTTGAAACAAGCCTCTTCCTGATGTTCATAGTTTTTAACCCTCTCTGAAGAGGGACTCTCTCTATCTGTGCTTGGGTAATTGGAAAAGACGCACAAGTTAAATCCCTGGCCACAGAAAAACAGATGAAAATAGTAATATGTGATATGTGACCTCATTGTTCTATCTGCTCAACTGCAAGTTATCTGACTGTTCACACACAGCATTGCTTTCTGGTCCTTTTCAGGATGGGGTTCTTCTCTTCCATCTTTTTCCTTTTCCTCTCTTTCCCGTTCCTTCCACCCCCTCCTTTTCTCTCTGTTCTCTTTCTTTCTTTCCTTTTTTGTGCTGGTTGGTACCAGGACTTGAACTCTGGGTCTCATGCATTTGCTTGGCTTTTTTTTTTTTTTTTGCTCATGGATGGCACTCTACCACTTGAGCTATGCTTATACTTTACTATATTAATTGGAGATAGTCTTGAGGACTTTCATGTTCTGGGTCTCAGCTTCTTGAGTAGCTAGGATTATAGGCATCAACCTTCAGCACCCAGCTGAAACACCAGCAGCAGACCTTCTTTTTACATATCTTGCTTTGTAAAATAGGTATGTTGTAACTTAAGTTCTTAATTAATATTCTGTTTTCTGCTTTTCTCTCTCCCTTATTATGATAATCACAAGTTCAGGGTGGAGAATAATATTGAAATCAATGTGCTCTAATACCGAAATCTACATTAAAAACCTGAGTTATGGATAAGTAAAGATTCAGATTCTGAAGCAGAAAGCCATACTCAAGTCTTGGGCATCTGTTATCAATATTTCATTAGGAAGGCAGATGACAGTGTGAATAGGATTTCAAGCAGAAATGAAATAAAGCAAAATGGAAAGAGACTATTGATTAAATGCTGACCTTGAAATAATTACTGGCAAACTGTTTATTGTTTCTTGGATCAAAATTTGTTTGTATACTTCTGGAAAGCAAAATCTGAACTTCATGCAAGTTAGACAAACACCCTAACACCATTTTTGAGGTCATTACATTGTGTCTGGCACTGAATATGTAAGTATTAAACTCATTTGACTTTGGTGAATCAAATCTACTGGCTTACTGAGTGCCCTCAGGAACTAAGAGAAAAAGAAGCAACCTCATTTTTTAAAGAACACGTGTGGAAAAGAGTAAAATAATATAGCTCAGAGAACACAAACAGGTGACAGAAAGACTCTCTTATAGAACATACTAACTAAATAATAATTTCTAAAATCTCTAAAGACTTTGCTTCACAGTATAGTAGCCAATGATATTTTAATGTACTTCATTGATGATAGGTTCATCCAGGTAAGATATATTTTGTAATTTTTCAATAATTATTATATTGAGACATAAATCATTAACTTGGGAAGTTGAAAATTTGAAATGTCTTCCCAGATTTAAGGAAAAGGATGTAAAAAACACCTACAAAAGCAATCCTGGAAGAAATGATCAGCTGTATATATTGACTCAATGATCAGCTGTATACATTGACTCACTTGACCCCCAAAAGCATACTTTTACATACTTGATTTATTCCAATCAACTTGTCTTGAGGATGCTGAGGTTATTTGGGACCAAGGTCATGTCTTGCTCTCTTCTGCTGCATTCTGATCTTGAATTGTCAAAGTTGCAGTGTATAAAAATTGACACTGGATACATACTGATTTGATTTTATGGAATTTTTTTAAAAAATCATTCTTTTCACTCAGACAGAAATATAAAATTTTTATGTGGATTCAACAGTAAACCAATCTTGGAAGGTATTCTGTCACAAATCAATATAGTTCCCAAGATAACCACATCATCCTTAATGCACCTCTTCATGTATGCTGACATTGTGATGGATGGAGTGTGGCATCTAGGGTTTTCTTTTACAATGTGGAGGTACAGAGGGCATGAAAAGTCAGCAGGTGATCACTGGTGAGCTGAGTGATGGCTGCCCAAAGGCTTATTAACCTATCATTTGTGGTTTTACATATATTTTGAATTTTTAATAATAAAAGTTAAGTACATATAGTAATAAGAAAGACCACTTTTGCTCCTTATGCTAAATAGTAAAAAATTTATCACCATGTTTGGGCACATACTTTATTTCCAAGGAAATACCAAATATGGTTTTCAGTACTTCTTCTATTTCTTCCTCTTTCAAAGTCTTAAACTCTACCAGATCCACATTGTCCTTGTAGCTGAATTTCCGATGGGCCAGGAGGAATCCCATTAAGCAGTAAGTCCCATCTGCGGTCTGCACAGTACAGTATGTTGTGTTTACGAACAGAGATGTTGGAGATGTCTGAAGGTACATACTTGCAGACTTAAAATCTTCAATTTTTCGAGGCTCAAGAGTAAAGGAGAAGACTTTTCTATATTTATTCTTCTCAAGGATTTCAGAATTCATAAATTCTTGGTCTGGAACATACTGTTCTCTTCTGATTTGATCCAGGTACCAGATGCCCTTTTCTTCTGTCAATTGAAAAACAGAAGGCACTTGAGGCTGATCCTTTCCAGAAATTAATTCCAAGGGCTCCCATATCTGGTAGGAACTTCCAAATCCTGCATCAACAATGTAATCCTTGCCATTGATGCTTACCCGTAGTAGAAGGTGAGTCATGTCACTGCCATACTTTTTGGCTGGAGGAATGTAAACATATCCTCCCAACATTGTGGTCTCAAAACCCATTGTGGTTAGAACCCAGCAGAGAAGCTGATTAAGCTGGAAACACCACCCACCGCGCTTCCTGTTCACAATTTGATCAAAAATGGCTTCCAAGGCCATATCCATAGACTCTCCACAATGCATGTGCAGATTTTCATAGGGAATGGCTCGGATCTGATGTTGAAGAATTTCTGTTAATGTCTCCAAGTCCAGTTTCTTCCCAGAGTTCTTATAACCAATTCTTTCAAAATATGATTCAATATCCATGGTCCTATTAGGCAAAGAAAATGAAAACAAAAAACAAATGCCATTTTTACTATTTTTCCATGTCCTGAGATAGGATAATTGTATCTAGAATGTATTTTTGACTATGCAAATGAAAGCAATGGCTATCAGCATGTGTGTTGGCAATTACATTCTCCTATTATGTGAATTGCCATTACACCCATCCACTAGACATTATCAGGAGCCTGAAAGGCAACTGTCATTCTTTCTTCTAATATTTATATCAAGCCGAAATTGAAAATTCAGATAAGATAATGAGCAGAGTTAACATACAGCTAGATCTTTATTCTTGCTGATGAATAAGAAATCTTCCAAATAACATTCACTGAAATAGGCATCTCAACAGTTCCCTGATCAAGACAGAAGAGTTCCATGTTTGAGTACATTGAATTCTCATTTCAACCCTCTTAATTCCCCCTTACACAAGGCCCTCCCACTACTGAAAGTTTACATTGATTAATTGATTCTTTCATTCATCCATTTAACAAATAGTTTACTAAGTACACATTCAATACTTGTTTCTGGCCTAGTGCTTGTTTGCCTTCTGAAATCTGAAACCATAGTACCATATAGTATGTAAGAAAAAGCTTGATATTCATAGTACAAGACAATAAATAGATAAAGCCATTCCAATGCCACATAGAAGTTAAAGAAAAGAAAGTAATCAAATGCAATCTACTCAATGTTCCTAAAGAGATAAACTGAAAAAAGTGTGATAGAAAATAGTATCTGGAAGGACAAACAAATATCATTTTCAAAAAGCAAGATAGAAGAATTCAAATCTGAAAAATAGGAGACAAGATTCTGAGAAAACCTGATTCTTCCTGTTTGATATTAGTGTACATTTTTCTGTTAAAATGTTAACCTTCAAAATGAAAGAATTGTTGAAGAATCCGGTAGGGAAATAAAGTATTTCATAAGAAAATGAATATCAGTTTGTTGACAGAATAGTCACAAAAATACCCAAGGGTAAACTAGTAGAATTCTTTCTATAAAGCACTGAAGAAAAATGCTGTCCATAAATGTTTTACTATCAATGTTTCATGAAATCAAAAAGGTGACAAGTGTGCAAAGATAATATTAAACATGAAAGAACTTGAGAAATATGACAACTTTGAGCTATCCTGAATAAATGGTTCCTCTTCGATGAGCAATTAAAAAATTTTTAAAAAGGAAAACTAAGAGAGACCCCCAGTGAAGGACTTCTGGAAACCCTAGCTCCTTTTAATACAGAATGAAGATTAGAAGTAGAATGATTATTGTGGCTACTGAACAAAACATTTCATGGAAATAGAAATAGGAAGTTAAAATTAAACCTGAAGAAAAAACAAATAGTTAAAACAGGGATATAGATGGACCCATTGCAACAATGAGATGTACAAGTCATTATGTCGAAAAATAAACTGTACAACTTTGGTGAGGGGGGAGGGAGGAAGGAGGATTGGGGAGTGTTGGGGGGAGGATGGGAAGGGATGGGAAGGGGAAACAAAGGAGGAGGCTACAATGCTTGATAAGAAATGTATTCATTACCTTGCTCATCTAACTGTAACCCCTCTGTACAGTATTTTCACAATAAAAATATAAAAAATCAAAAAATTAAACCTGAAGATGGCAAAACACTTATAATATGTACAGTACTCAGTGTGACTTTTACTCAGACAGTTTTGAGGCAAGTATTTGTTAGACTCACCCATATGCTACAACGAATTTACAGTGGTAGGGATTAAATATTGACATCTAAACTTTCTGAACAACCTAGAACTTGGAATTCAGAATCTAGTTTCCTAGGTATTTTTTTTGAGGAAGAAGGAACCCCCAGTTTCAAGAGATACTCACAGCAAGTCAGTCTGGGGGAGCTCTGCTTGCCTGGTGAGCAGAGCCTCAAGCAGGATCCAGGTAGAGTGCTGTCCTCTGTCTTCTGGAGTCTGCATTGAAATTGTTCTCATGGACTTTTAAATTTCCCAGCCTGCCCCACCTCCAGTCCATTGGAATCTTTTCAAGGATTTCTGGGAAATGCAGTTCTTATTGAGAAGCTGTTGAACTTTGTGTTATCCAGTGTATCTAGTACCTCAGGCTGGGCAGAGTCCTTGTATTTCAAAGTTCCTTCTCTCCAAGGCTGCATTTCCCAGATGTGATTGTGCCTAGAAAGGTACAATCCTACAGAAAGAAAAACTTGGAATATTTTATTCACCTTCCAAGAATTTGATACTCCTTTTTAAAAAAATTATTTTATTGTTCTTATAGAGGTGATGTACAGAGGGGCTGCAATTCCATGAGTCGGGTTTGACTACATTTCCTTTTGTACAGTGTCTGCTCTTCCCTCCCTCTCTCCCACTCCCTTCCTCCCATCTCTACCCAGGAGTTCTATAGTTCACTTTCATCAGTTCTAGTGAGCGCCACTACTGCACTATTTCACCCTTTCCCCCTGAGTTCTGTACCCTCTCCCCACCTGCTGAAGATATACATGTGAATACAACATACATATAGAAAAGAAGAACCATCAAAAAATTAAAAGAAGTGATCTCTTGGTTTTATACCTTAAAGTTGTTTCTCTCCTTCTCTCTCTACACATGTATATTTATACGTATATATCTATATATAGATAATAACTATATGAAGAGGCACACAGGCATTGCTTCTTTTGTCTCTCTGTGTGAGTTTATGATACTCCCAATCAGTTTTCCCTAGGACCTCCCTTTTGCTCTTTTTCATCCTTCATCCTCATTTCCATTTACTTCTGCACCAAAAGGCACCATGGAATGTGTCTGAGACACACACATGTGAGATAAAGTCTTTATCATTAAGTAGTGCTTGTTTCTTTGTGAGTGTGTGTGTGTGTACGTGTGTGTGCGCGCGTGCGCTTGAACTTAGAGCCTCATACTCTTGCTCAGCTGACACTCTATAGTAGAGCCCTGCCTCCAATCTGGCATTTTGCTGGTTAATAGGAGATGGATTCTTACAGACTGTTAAAAAAATTTTTTTTTGGCCTACCTAGGCTTTAAACCTTATACTCCAAGTCTCAGCTGCCTGAGCAGCTAGAATTACGGGTATGAGCCACTGGTGTCTTGCCTGCTTGTGGTTTTGATTGACATTGCTCTATAACGCTTGGTGTCTCTTAGTTGTTGTTTTTTTTTTCCTACAGTAGTATTTTAAAAACTGTCCTCATGATATGATTGATGTTTTGTCACCTACTGTCAGAGTACAATCTGGCTTCCCACTGTATTTCCTTTGTTTTTCTACCTAAAGACTGCTCCATGCTTGGGCAGGCTACATGGACTGACAAATTAATGCCCCTTGAACCATCACTCAAGCAAGGCTGATGTGACTTGAGGGATAAATAGCTCCATGTTTTATCTGTGCAGAAATCATGTGGAGGCATGTACAACACTGCTCTCTGGTGTTGGCCATTATGATGGGTATCTTTGTCCATGGGTTTAGGTGAACACACCAAGGTAAACACACCTTTGTTGATTCTCAAACTTCCTTGTCCCACAGTGCCACTCTTCTACCTGTTTCCATTGGTCACCCCCATGGAAGTTACTTATTGCAGATTGTTATCTTAGTGTGTGGTTCTTTGGGACAGAACCTGATAATATTTCACATATTTGTACAGGTTAAGGATACCTGCATGTCCCTATCTCCCAGTTACTGTAAAGATGGATGTGATGTGATGGATTCTTTTGTACACATTCCTGGGAAATTAGCTCAAGAACATTGCTGGGATAATAGGATTGCAATCTGCTTTGGGATAGAACATGTTATCTTTCAGACTTCTGTTCTCTTGTGGAGTAGCATTCCCATTTTCCGCATACCCTGATGCTGGCAATCTGAAAATATCTGCCAAAGTCATGTATCCAAGGGTGTAAGAAGCTCACTGTTTTTCTGATTTTTTTCTTCTTTGAGACTTAATGAATATGATAATCTAATCACCTTACTATTGTTCTATTTTTTAATTTTGAGCAGGATTTCCCTATGTAGTTAAGATGGCCCTAAAACTCAACTGTCAGACTTTCGATCTTTCTATCTTGGCCTGCTAAGTACTGAGGTTACAGATTCACACCGCATTCTTAACTCTCATTAATGGCATTAATGGCAAGGTTTGGCCATATCTGCTGAATTATCCAGGGCCTGGGTGTCATGGAAGGAAAATTACAAACACATCTTGCAGAAATATTTTGCCAGTGTGAGGTAGTAGAGGGCAAGGAGGGGGAAAAAACAAAACAAAGCAATAAATATACCCCAAACCCAAGAAAGAGGAGTGGGTCCTGGATCACTTTTGGTAGTGTATTAGAGAGAAATTGTAAAATAAATACTTAGAGAATTCCTTTTGCATGGGATTGCATGAAATTGCAGAGCTTCTGCACGGCAAAGGACATAGATAGCAAGATCAATAGAAAGCCCACGGATTGGGAGAAAATCTTCACTAGCCATACAACCGACAAGCGTCTCATACCTAAAATATACCTGGAACTCAAAAATTTAAATCCTCCAACAACAAATCCACAAAGAAACAACTGCCCAATAAATAAGTGGGCTAAAGACTTACAGAGAAACTTCTCTGAAGAGGAAAGAAGGATGGCCAATAGACACATGAAGAAATGCTCAACCTCCCTAGCTATAAAAGAAATGCAAATCAAAAGAACATTGAGATACCACCTCACTCCAGTTAGAATGGCTATAATAAAGAACTCTAATAACAACAGATGCTGGAGGGGATGTGGACAGAAGGGAACCTTACTTCATTGTTGGTGGGAATGTAAACTTGTTCAACAGCTTTGCAAAGCAGTATGGAGGTTCCTCAAAAGACTCCACATAGAGCTCCCCTATGACCCAGCAATCCCACTTTTGGGCACTTACCCAAATGATCACAAACAAGACCATACTAATGCTACCAGCACAACTATGTTTATTGCAGCATTATTTACCATAGTTAAGATATGGAACAACCCAGATGCCCCTCAGTAGATGAATGGATCAAGAAA